ATGATGAACGATGAACGCTTTCTTCAAGGGCCGTCGAGGCTTAATCTTGAATTGGTGGAAGTTCCTTCAAAAGGCCGTTGGGGCTTGATCTTGAAGGTTGAGTTGATGAAGAACGAAGAGGGCTTTCTTGATCCTTCGGGATTTGCTTGGGAGCTTTGGAGTTGAAAGCTTCAAGGTTTTGGTGTGATGTCAATTGGTTATGAAATTGGTTTCTTTCAATGCCCTCCTCAAATGAATACATTGGCTTCCTATTTATAGAATTTTCCAAGGCCTAATTTTGAATATAATATGCAGATGAAATAAATCGTTTTTGTCAGGTGTTGACATGTGTCCTATTTGATGACTTTTCTGATTTATTTTGATTTTTTCGTTTAGTCACATGCTACATGTAAAATTTATGTGACACGTGAGCGTTGAAATTGTAACTATTGGTCAACATTTATTTCACCGAAATTTCGATGTCTACAAATGCCCCCACTTCAAGGTGCATCATGTATATGTGCTTGTCACGTGTAGGAGATGCGTTTTGAAGTCCCTTAATGTAGATGTCGATCCAAGGGCCATCGAGGCTTGATCTTGAATTTGGCTGGAGATTTCTTCCAGGGCCGTTGAGGCTTGATCTTGAATTGGGCTTGAGATTTCTTCAAGGGCTGTTGAGGCTTGACCTTGAATTGGGCTGAAAATTTCTTCAGGGGCCGTCGAGGCTTGATCTTGAAAGTTGAAATTGGACCATAAGGAGCTTCATGTGGTAGATGATCTTTGGCTTTGGTAGTGGATGAATTGGCACGTATTTTTTTTTTGCGCTTGTTGACTTTCCATAGCTTTGATCTTGAACTGGGTTGGAGGATTTTCTGGATTCCTCCAATTGTTGACTTTTCCTCAGCTTATTCTTGAACTGGATTTGATTCAAGGGTGGTGGACGCTTGATTTTTGAATCGGACTTGTGATTTCCTCAAAGGCCGTCAAGGCTTGATCTTGAATTTGGTTGGAAGCTTCTTCAAGGGCCGTTGAGGCTTGATTCTTGAACACATGGCAAGCAGGCACGAGGTGAAGGTGACGACTTGTTGCTTTGTTCAATCTTTCTAATTCACACTTGAGCAGTTTGGTCAATGGTATGATCTTCAAGATTGATGGGCTCTTCTTCTAGTTGGTGACTTGATCTTTTAGCATACAACTAACTAGAACGCTAAAAGAGATAATATCAAATTGAATGAATAAAGGAATGGGTCCTACACTGAAAAGCCTCGAAGATGCCGATGCAGAAATGCCTTGACACCAAGATTGTACGCCTCGATTCTAAGTCTTGATGGGGTGCAAAACAAACATGAGTGGACCAAGTTGATGTATATATAATACTAAAATAATTATCAACAAACTATCCCCCAAAGTTTTATGAAAATTCAATAGTATAATATGTAATAGGTTTTTTCGAAAACTCTAGCATGCCATAAAACCTGTCATAAATCATATCTCGTACAATGTGTGCTAACTAGTGGTATCATAATCCCCCGAAGGCATAACATAGAATTCTTCCTTCAGAACACTTTCTTCACATATATCAATCGCCCGCAGGCTCCTACACACACCCACCTGAAGGCATATATATAATGACCACTAGATACGCACAAAACCGTTGAACATATTCTTTCCAAACATAAGTACATATATCTCGAAAGCATCTTCATAGTATAAATCATCCATCATCTATACTATAAAGAAGTGTGTAAAAATACGTTCTAAATAACATATTGTCATCTATCAGATATTCTACAATGAACATGGTTTCAATAGAAAATATGGTATTCCAAAATATTCTAAATAAGCACAATATCTCATAAAACATTTCATAAAACGTAATCAATAAATCATGCTTTTCATGTACGCATTTCTACTATTAAAACATGCATTTTAGAAGGGGTCCACTCACAGATACTTCGCTGCTGAAGAGCCACGCAAATTAGCGAAGACGGAATCGTCACAATATATGCACCTAAGCACATAATTAGTCCAATTAATTAAACTATATTATAAAAATTGAATTTGGGAAAATGAATGTCAAAAACAGATTCAAGATGTCAAATTACCCTAAGAAGAGTCCCGGGTAAATTTCGTAAAAGTCAACAAGGGAATATTCCAAAGAATGTTCCAGGAATATTCTTCGAAATGTTCTAGGAATATTCTTCGGAATGTTCCAGGAATATTCTTGGAAGGTTCCAATCGGATCTGAGCTGGTGGGTTTGGGCCCAAAGGCCTAGGTTTTCACACTGGTTGGGCTTAAAAGGGTTTTGGGTTTGGGCTGGCAGATTTGGGTTTGGGCTTTGACCTAAAGGGTTTTGGTTATAGGTTGAGCCAAAAGCCTAGGTTGGGCTTCAAATGGGTTGGGCATGGGCAGTCCCACCCAAGGGTTTTCTGGTTTGAACGGCCCCAAGGCCTGGCTTCGATGGAAAGAACATTCCCTAGCTCTGGTTAACGTCAAATCGCCACCATTTTCAACCTACAAATACCCAAAATGAAGCTAGAGAGAAGAGGATTCCAAGTATACCTTCCTTGTGGCCAGTCGTGGCCGGAAGGTGATCAGAAAAACGTCTGCAAGTCACGGCATTTTCGTCGAAATCTGGGAACTTCTTTTCCTGAGTATAGCTATGTTCCACGACATTCAAACCATTTAAAATCGTCCTACTCAAGCTCTAATAAAATTATAAGAAGTTTGGAAAGGTTATCGAAACTCATCGTAGCCGAAGAAGGCAAGGATTCACCAAACGGCTCTTGAACAGTGGCAACGCCATTGTGCAGTGAAGAAGAGGTAGATAGCTTCGGGTTTCTGGCATATGGAGGTTCTAGTGGAAGTTGATTGTCCAAGTGTGTGTGTGTGTGTGTGTGTGTGTGTGTTTGCTTCTCGGGGAGGGAAATGTGCAGCATAGAGAAAGGAGAGAGTGAGGTCCGAGAGGGAGAGGGTTAGAAATGAGACAAAGAGGGAGCTCGGGGAGAAGGAGAAAAGAGAAAGAGGGTGCCACGTGGAAGCCCAAGAGGAAGAAAGATTGGGGGACCAAAAAGTAAAGTGGGTCTCACCCAACTCACTAATTAAGGCTCGAAAACAATATATATATATATATATATATATATATTTAAAAATCGGGGATGGGGTTTTACAATCTACCCCCTTAAAAGAATTTCATCCTCTAAATTTGAAATCACTTACTACACTACAAAATTCAGAGATAGGTAGAAGAAAATATATATAAAGAAAAAATCAAGTCAGAGTGGTTGCATAAAAAATACTATGTCACACCGTCGTGAGCAGTTTGCCAAATCCTCTTTCATGCCTCCAAGCTCCTACTTTCTTCCCCAATCAGCATAATAGTAGAAACATACCTTGTAAAGATATTAAATCGAAAATTGTATAGCAACGTATGGTCAAAACTATGTACATATAATATGATAACGTCAAAATAGTTATGTACTAACATAGAGGTAAAAAACTTGTACTAAACTTAAAACTGAAAATGAAAAAGGCTTAACCGAACATTTGTAACTTCAAAAAGATAAATGTAATATAAGGTAATTCAAAATACTTGTATTGAAAACCAAAATTGAAAATGGAAGTGGGTCTCGCCCAAACATACGTAACGTCATGTACTCCGAGAAAAGATGTGTCTTTGGGTCGAGTCCCAACAATCACTAACCATTGACAATTACCGTAGACATGTCTTCCTGCCTACTTGCTTAACAAACCCAATGAACAAGTTATTGATACAACAATCGGCCACTCGCGATATCGACCACACATTTGTTGTCTCAATAAGTAAGTAGTAATTTCTTGAGGGTGCACAATTTCACACGTCGTAAATTCGATCCTTCGAATACCCGTTCACAAAACTCTTTTGTCAACCAGTGTTGCCTGTAGAAAACTCTCGTACCATGTCACAAAAAGTGCCATACCCAAACTGAACAAAACAAAAACCGTCGTAGTAAAAACTATACCCAGCACCAAGCATTCTTCTAAATGTGACCAACTACTTTAGTGTTTTACCAATGAAGAACCCACCTGAAAACTGTACTTTGGGATTAAAAGAAGTGGCTACCATGTTAATAGTAGACCCAAAAGCTCGAACCAAGCAAACTGAAAACGAGGAGTCACTTTCACCAACCAACAGTATCTCTTGGGAGTTGTTGCAGTGTTTAAACCACCTCTCCATTTTTGCTTAGTTGGTGGAAAGAAGAAGGACTCTTAAGTGATCAACCTAAAAACCCTATGAAAGCACACATCATTCAAGAGAAGTGTAATTTCTAAATGTGCTTAAACCACAAGACGAGTGAACACAACATGTCTTTCAAGGTTTAGATAGTTCAATCAAATACCAGACTCGGAACTCAAGATGGAATTTAATCTCAGTAGATGCCTATCAAAGGTGTGTTAAGGTTGGGTGGAAGATACCCTTCGAATTTTTGGGCAAATGAACTTATTTATATATCGTTGGAAAAGAACTACCAGGGTACAATATGATGTTTATGAATTGCAGCAAGATGGTGATACAATCTGCTAACCTTCTGCACTACAATCTTTAACCAACTTTTACCAAAAGATGACTCACACCTCACACCCACGTGGAACTCTTTTTGGTAAGTTTGGTAAGCTTGTGAAAAGGTTATGCTCCTAACGTTCCTATCTGAATCGATAAGAATTGGGCGCACACTTCCACTGAATCAATTGATCGTGAATTCCTCACTGTGAGCGAGAAACCATGTCGAGAAGGCTGAAAGAACACTCAAGAATTTGAGGGTCAAAATAGAAATAGAAGTCACTGTTTATGATTATTTCGTTAATCATCACAGTAAGGTTGATTGGTTTCTTAGCCGAAAAGGAAATAGGTTTAAGCTCAAGATTAGCTAAGAATTGTTAATAAGATTTGACGATGCCAAAAACATTTTGTAATTCACAATACTTTGTAAGAGTTGTTTCAAGGTTCAAAAATTAAACATAAAACCTCTGAATCAACATAATGACGAAGAAGAAAGATACAAAGCAGCCTGCGTATGCATGCAGTGGTATGATTAGCTACCTTAAAGTGATGCCCTTGAGAAAACCAACGCTCAATGAGTCCAGATAAGTTCAGAGTAAAGCTCGATGTTCGTACAATGATGAATATGGTTAGGGCTGGAAAAAAATCCCAAAAATCCCAAACCAAACCGAAAAAATCCCGATCCCAAACCAAAAAAATCCCAAACCAAAATTCCTGAAATTTTCGGTATGTCATCCCGAACCAAACCGAAATTTTCGGTATGGGATTCGGTTTTGCATCTCCATATTTTCGGTATTCCCATACCGAACCGAAAATAAATATTATATATATATAATATTTTTTAATTATAAGAAAATTATTTCAACCATTCATTGTTTTGAATTTAATCTGTACCGTTCATTTGTTTTTAGGTCGGATCTCCCATTTCACTTCCGTTCCATTGATTCGATCGAACTTGAAGCGCAGCAGCCTTCCTCACCGAGCCCTCATCTCATCTCTCTGTGTCGAATTCCGGCCAGCCACCGGCCCACCACCACACCATACTATCTCCTCTGACTCTCCAGCCTTCCTTCACCACGCAGCCACCGCCACGCCACCGCTCTCTCTCTCTCGCGATCTTTCTCTCTCGGGCGATTTTCTCTCACATCACAGAACTCTCGATCCAGCACCAGCACCGAATAGTGCAGCTACAGGTAATGCTACCCATTCTTTTTGTTACTTGACCACTAAGAAATTTTATGAGAATCGGATTTCCATATTTTTGTTTTGGCTATAGAATCTTAGATACATGGTCTTGCTTTAATGTTTGATGGCAAATCAAGTATTGTAATTCTGTTTTCTTTGCAGTTCTATATTTATTTTTTGGGCTGAGGTTATTTTACATTGCTTGGAGATCATCAGATTCTAAATCTTCCCAGAAGAAAGAAATTGAAGAAGTAAGTTTATTATATGTTTTCACTTTTTAGCCTTTATTTGATTTGTATTTATTTATGATCCCTAGATAGATGGATGGTAAACTAACAATGCTTGGTGCCTGTACTACCCAGTTTATGGATCATAATAATCAACTTTAGTTCGGATAAAGCAATATTTAAATTTTTTGAAGACTTGCTTTGATGCTTTTGAATGAACATGTGAATGATGGAGGTCTTCAAAAACCTTCGAAAACAACCTCATCTGTATAGTGATAAAGATTGCAAAACAACTTTACCTCAACTGTGCAACTGATAAAGTAAGATGATGAAATTGAGTTAACTGGTGTCATATGTTTAAAACTTTCCAGGCTCATTGGTTTTCCCTTGAGTTAGCCATGAAAGTACTAGGCATTTACGAGAAGTGGGAATAATCTCATAATTCAGAGTTGTTCTGAATTGACTGCCTGCATTATTCCTGATGTCTGATCACTTTTTATATCCTTTTGTCTTCATCGCGTTTATGAGCTTACAACATGAATTTTGTCCCTTTGCCAGTCTATTTTGTTATTTTTGCTATCTAAATTTGTTTCCATGGTGTTGTAACTTGTAACTAAAAGGTTCAGATACTGCAAAAGTGCGATTTCTTATTATCGATGTGATCAAGATTTAAGTTGTTTTGTGTGTCAATTAGGTACTTTCCACTGGACTTGGTAGGATTGTGCCAAACTTGATATCAAGGAAGCATACGAATAGTGCAGCTACATGTAAAGCTACCAATTATTTTTGTTACTTGACCACTAAGAAATTTTATGAGAATCGGATTTCCATATTTTTGTTTTGGCTATAGAATCTTAGATACATGGTCTTGCTTTAATGTTTGATAGCAAATCAAGTTTTGTGGTTCTGTTTTTGCTTCTCATACCATATGACTCTTTAATTGTAAACTACTGGATGACTACATATGCGTACATGTGAAATGTATAATTTCACAACAATAAACATAAAAGAAAGTAAGCAAGGAATTGTTAGACTATGATGAACTGTCATTCTGTAGGATTTATTATAGACACCATGAGTAGAATCATAGATCAGATTATTGAGGTATCACATTTTATGATGTACTCAGGGTCAGGGAGACCATGCTATAAACTAGGACTAGACAACATAATATGTCAAATTTTAGTCCAAAAGCCCAAAACCATTTCGGGATTCCCGATTTGTCCCGAAATCCCGAAACTATTTTGGGATTCCCGAAAATTTGGTTTGGGATCGGTATTGAAATTGGGATTCCCGAAAATTTCGGTTTGGGAATCGGGACAAGGGTTACGGTATGGGATCCCATACCGAACCACCCCTAAATATGGTAGAGTTTCAAGCCATTACACTGAAAATTACAAGGCTGAACAATTAGTAGACAAGAGCACTGGTCAGTTGGGCTACAAGCAAGAGGCTAAGTTCACCTCGACGGAAAACTACGTCGACAAGGAGCTAGGGTTTACCACCGAGTACCAGACCCAGATGAAGTTCAAGGAGTCTATTTATCCAAACAAGGCTAGATTTTCACCATCCAAGTCCAACTACAACAACAACAACAAAAATCGCAATTCCTTTCGAAAATTGGTGGGAATAGCATTTGATACCGAGGAGTTTCCTAAGAAAAGTATTTAATGTAAATGAAGTCAATGCTCAAAGGATTTGGTGGAAGCTGACAATCAAGGGTTAGGGAACTTGACTTCATCGTTGGAGTAAGTGAGAAGGTTATTGATAGAACAATGACTGAGAATTGTTCTAAAGATTCACACGAATTCCTTAGCGAGAACGAGTTCGAGAACATTAATTCAATCCCACCAATTACAACTTGCTAAACTTTGTAACAACTAGCGCTTACTTGCATTCTCCAACACACACTTCAAATAGTTCAAGTAGTTACCACTAAGATATGACTCTACTCACCATTCATGGGGAACGCATGTTGCAGAAAATCGATCCGATGTTGAAAGTCATTCAACAATCTAATTCATCACTGATGAGGCACAATCCTGACATGAATTTCTTCTTCTTCAATAGGATGTGACAATTCATATCGTGATGAGGATTGCACAACGTGCTGAATGATAACAAATTCGGAAGTTGTGACATCCAAATGATGTTATGACCGACACACTACTAGAGTAACAGAAGATCCAAAGTATGCTCTGAACAACCACGCTCTGATACCAATTTGACATGCCTCGATCCCGATGTTCCTCAAATACTAGGGTAGGTACGTGATGGCCGACACCCGAGGGTGACGAAAGCCATTTATTGAAAACATGAGAACTGAAATATGAATAAGATGAGAAATTTAAATATAATTAATATGCAAATGAGGAACATGTTCAAAGCATACAACTAGCTAGAACACTAAAAGAAATAATATCAAATTGAATGAATAAAGGAATGGGTCCTACATCGAGATGACTCAAAGATGCCGATGTGGAAGTGCCTTGACGCCAGAATTGTACCCCTCGATTCTAAGTTTTGAGGGGGGTGCAAAACAAACATGAGTGGACCAAGTTGACATATATATAATACTGAAATAGTTATCAACATACTAACCCCCAAAGTTTTATGGAAATTCAATAGTATAATATGTAATAGATTTTTCCGAAACTCTAGCATGCCATAAAACCTGTCATAAATCATATCTCGTATAAAGTGTGCTAACTAGAGGTATCATAATCGACCGAAGGCAGAACATAGAACTCTTACTTCAGAACACTTCCTTCACATATATCAATTGCACGCAGGCTCCTACAGCACTCACCTGAAGGTATATATATTATCAATCGCCCAAAGGCTCCTACAGCACCCACCCAAAGGCATATATATAATGACCACTAGATACGCACGAAATCGTTGAACATACTCTTTCCGAACATAAGTACATATATCTCTAAAGAATCTTTATAGTATAAAGTCATCCATCATCTATACTATAAAGAAGTGTGTAAAAACATGTTCTAAATAGCATATCGTCATCCATCAGGAAGAAAGACCAGGGGACCTAAAAGAGAGGGTGCCACGTGGCAACCCAAGAGGAAGAGAGACTGTGGGACCAAAAAGGAAAGTGGGTCTCGCCCGACTCACTAATTAAGGCTAAAAAACAATATATATATTTAAATATCGGGGTGGGGTTTTACACTTTTGCCCAAGAAAGACAAGATTGCCCTCAATAAATGGGCAGACTCCTCAGATACTCCCACGCACAGTTCACACCCCTGAAGGTCCTAGCAGCTGAATACAACTGCCCACAGCTCACCTGCCCTTGGCAAGGAAAAGTCAAAGCATTAAAGATAAGCATTAATTAGCCAAATCTTATTTTAATACATTCCCAATTGAAGATTGACTTCATTCGAGTAAGTAATCCCTATTTAAATCAATTAGGGATAATTACTCCATTATCTCAAGATATTATTTCCTATTTAATATCTTGAGCATATTTCTCCATAAAACCATGGCCAATAGGATGCCGCCATGTGTAGGGTAAAACCCTAACACCAAGGTCGCCCACTCCCCTATATATACCCCTTATTCTACCAAATTTCGATAAGATTTTGCTACCTCTAAAAGCCCTAAACACTTTACTCTTCTCAAAGAAACTAACTTAGGCATCAGAGATCCATTGGCCTAACCCTCCCCCCCCCCCCCACCTCATGGGCGCATGAGGCTTAGGTCATTGATCAAAGGTGTTGATTGTTTTGTAGGTGCATTTTCGTCAAAACTAGAGACGATGGAAATTTGCATCGATAAATATGCATAACTAATTCCCTTTTTGCTAGGGTGAGGCCATGAGCCTTCGCAAGAATATGTAGTTGCTTTTCAATTTGCTTATGATAATATGCATGTAGGTTTTGAATTGTTAATCACTGGTTTAAACTATCTATTTGTCGTAGTGATTCATAACCTTTAGGATATTTAGAAAAGTAATTTTATGCAATTTTGGTCGGATGGTTTGTCCCTAAAATTGACGAAGGCTTCTTGTGATTAATATGTGCAAGTTCACATATGATGAATACCACGTCTTAAGGGTTGCATGGTTTTTCAAAAGGTTTCACAGAACTTAATGAGTCATGCATGTTTAGATTTGATCTGACTATCACAGACGAATTGTATATTTGATATACGTTCTATATTGGGAGTCCAAGTAGGAATATATTAGGAAAACTTAACCTTCAAAATATGTGTATATAGGTCATAAGTAATTGGGAGAACTATATAAGATTGTTAAGGTGACGGCGGATCCCTAGTGCTTTCTCAATTTAATTTCTAAAAAATGGTTCTTTTTCCTCATCTTTAATATTACAAATTGTTCTATTCTCATTTATTAATTTCGTTTTGTATTAAATTAGGTCATAAAATCAATCATCCTAAATCTTTGCTTTACAGTAATTAACTGTTATTTAATAATCCTTGGGGAGAACGACCTTGCTAGAACCATTTATACTACAATATCCTTGTCATTCTTGCCAGTATTATAGGTTTCTTTAACCCTTTTGCACGTGTGGTAAAAATCCTATCACCTACCTTGGTTCACTGGGAATTTTCAAAAGGATTCTTCGATACCTCAAGGGCTCAATAGGTATGGACAACTCATGAAGAAAGATGGCTCCAATTACATTATGGGATATACTGATGCCAATTGGGTAGGTAATCCCCCCTTACGAAAGTTAACCATGGGTTTTTTACACCTTTGTTAGAGGCAATCTCGTCACATGGAAAAGTAAGAAACAAACGGTGATAGCAAGGTCTACGATGCTGAGTATAGGGCCATGGCAACCACAACTTGTGAACTCATTTGGTTAAAGAGTTTTCTTTAGACTTTAGCTTTACCAGCAAGCAACCTATGCCTTTGTTTTGTGCAACGAGGTTGCCATGCACATTGCATCCAACCTTGTGTTTCATGAAAGGACGAAACATATTGAAGTTGATTGCCATTATATTCATGCCCAAGTTCAATCCAAAGTGATGGAAACCGTGTTCACAAAAAGTCACGGTCAACTTGCAGACTTTTTGACAAAATCCTTAGACTCTACACAGTTTCAAAGGTTGTTGTTCAAGCTTGGATGACCTTGACAGCTTGAGGGGGAGTATTGAAAGAGATGTATAGTTTACAAGTTGCTCCTGCAAATCTAGCAATGACATGTGAGCGTTACAGCCGCCACTTTCTTCATTTTCCCTTAATTGTACAATTTATGTCTTCTTTGTAACTTGTAACTAGGTTTAGCCCAATATTGTAACTCGTAATTAGGGTGAGCTTGGTTAACCATTGGTCCTTGCTGTGGCTTCTTTCCCTTCTTTGTCCAATGGCTTTAAGCCTTTCTTGAGCTCCCTATAAGAGCCCCCTTCTTGTAAATGTCTCTTATGATGAAATATACATAAAATAGCTTAATTAGAATTCAACACATCCCCACCATCATGCTATGAAACCCCGTTGCGAGCACCAAAACCAGGTGGATCTTCCTTTGATCTTTTAGTGTGCCCAAGCCAAGCTAGCCATTGATGAGTATCCAGTTGCCTAAGAAGTATATGTGTTTAAACTTATTACCTCATCTGCAACTCTCTATGACTCTGTTGTGAATGCTCACTAATGTTTATTTGGAAATTGAAAAACATAAACATAATCATACCTGGAGAGTGATGGCA